ATGTGGTTGAAATTTACGCTGTTATAATCTTAAAGAGGAGAGATACAGTTGTCCTGATGCTCAGTTAGCTTCACATAGCTCTGTTGACCACTACAAATACCATGAAGTAATTAGCAGTTTCTTCACATTGTGTGTTACATTTTTAAAGCTATTTTTTGTCTTTAGCCTGTTTTTTGTCACATTCCTTTCTATCCTCCTTGTACTATATATAGTTCCTTTTGAAATAAGGTGTAAGAAATTTGATTCAAGCCATAGTAGCATTCTTCTTCATTAGTTATATCTTTTTACCTCTTTTGCCCTGTATCATAAAATCTCAGGATTGATAACTACTGTAGATAGTAGGATTCTACAATTCATTTAGTTTACCAAGAAACCTGCTTCTTAAAAACATCTTCATAGAAATCATAATTTATTTTTTAAAGGGCATATGCAGATATAAATAATCTCAAAATGTAACCTGCAGAATATGAGAAGGCCCACAGCACTAATAACGTAGCTCATGTGGAGTTCTGGTGATATAATGTGATGAATTGATGGTTATTGTGGTAGAATGCCATTACAGGCTTAATTGGCCATTTCTTTGAGGGTTGGAATGAGGCTAGATTAAGATACTAGAGAGGTTCAGGGAGTTGGCAGAGTGAAATGGAGATAATAAATGAAAATGATTGTCCATAATCAACCAGTTCTCTCAGTAAATGTGAGACAGACTGTAATACCTATGCCCCATGCCTAGAGTACTGCGCTACCAAGAAAGAGATGATGATATTATACTTCAATATAATATCATTTTGATGTTGTGACAGTGAGATTTAAAGTGCATTTAACATTCAGAAGAAATTGTACTACTTCTGGTTAAATTAAACCTTCTTTCCCCACAGTGGTAGCTATAATAACCTTTTAGTTTCTCCAAAGTCAAACTTGGATGGTTGAGTGCTCTGTCTTAGAATCAGACAAGTCTGAGGAGAAACCAAGGAGAACATCTGCAGTCATGGCTGTATCTCATGTTATGCAGAGTTTCGGACTGTTTAAAATGATTAATTGAGACTAGCTTTTTCCTTCCTCTCTTAGCAAAACAACAGCAAAAAGCAGCAAAAACTAACAGGCTAATAAAACAGGCTCTTATGACGTCTAAGAGTCATGGAATATTGACCATCAGTTAAAAACCATAGTTAGCATGTTAGTACTGCTTGATTTTCCAAATGAAAAAATTCTGAATGGAATTCTAGAGGTACCAACTGTACTGAAAGAAATTTGGAAGTACCAAACACCTGATTTCCATAGTGGCACTTTATCTTTAAAATATGTGACTTTTAAAATATGTCAGTTTTAGCACTGCACTGAAGAGAATTCAGATTTTTTAGCGGGTCCTTTTACATGGATTACTGCTTATATTACAGTATGTATGTACTGTTTGCATGTATGGTGACAATGTCTGCTTACCTCTCATAAGTAAACACCCAGGAACAGAGTTGAAGAGGAATTAAACCCTGATCTGGTTAGGTTTTCAAGTGATTTACAGCACGATGGTCAAGGGTCTTCCAGGTCTGCTTATTAAAAATAATGTTGCCTTGAGGAAGGACAAGATACATATTTAACAAATAAATACATTGATAGGAACTCAGATGCTAACTTGTACTTCACTGTGCAATGTGTTGTAGATGTTCATTTCTATAAACATCTACATATGATTAATTAGGTAAATGGTTATGTATTCAGTGCCATCATTTCCATCTGCCTGTAATTGGCAGACATCTGATTTCTAGAATAAAACAAAGTAGAACCCGCAAGTGATAGGTCTCTAGTTATACGTAATTATGAACTGAAAAGGAGATCATTAGTAATATAAAGACTGTTTTTCAAAGAACTTGGACTTCAGTTCTATTTGTTCAAAGAATCTTTAAGCTGGAGTAGAAATACAGTTCGCACATAGCTGACATTGTGTGTGTTATGTGCAGTTTAAAATAGGGATTTAACAGAAAGTTTCCATCAAATAACACATTGTGTGTTTGTGTTTTTCTTAGGGGCTGGTGAATCAGGAAAAAGCACAATTGTCAAACAAATGAAGTACGTATGTTTAAGAGTGAGAATATAAACTTACTAAAGTCAGTAGATGATGTAACTAAACTAAAGGGTGATCTTTTTTTTTTTCTTGGTCAGAATTATCCATGAAGCTGGATATTCAGAAGAAGAATGTAAACAGTATAAAGCAGTTGTGTACAGTAATACAATTCAGTCCATTATTGCTATCATAAGAGCTATGGGGAGACTGAAAATAGATTTTGGAGATTCAGCCAGGGCTGTAAGTATTAACTTCTTAATGTTCCCCTTAAATACTATTCTTAATTCTGAAATTAAGAATTCTGAAATGTAGGAACCTTGATATTCCTGCTAGTGTTAATTCATTAATCAATTCATTTGTTTGTTCATTTATTCATTCATTTTTTTTCTCTAATTAATTTACAAAATAAGATCAACTTCTATATCTCCAAATCCTGGAAGGGAAAGGTTAAATAAATGAATATAATATCCTAATTCGTTTCAAATGGGATAAAACCTAGTATGTGAAGAAAAACAACTTTTCCTAGTCAATTTCAAAGGCCAACCCAAATAAAGTACAATTGTGCAAGAGTCCTCAAATTGTAGTATGTACAAATAAAGTAAAATAATGTTCTTAGTTATTCTAGATGGAAATTAAAAGTTCATAAGTCTTGTGTCATCTCATTCATATGACAGTTACAATTCATATTGGAAAACTCATTTTCCACATTTATATGTCATCCATTTAGATGGCTTGGAAAACTTACATTGATATCAACATATAATGGTGATATAAAGCCATAGATCTGTAAAAGGTCAATAAAAATATATGTTTAGACATCTTCTTTTTAGAATTAAATCAGAATGGGTTTGGGAGATCATATGCAATTGTTTTCATCAGCATAGGGAGAAGAGAACAGTTGAAGTTAAGATAACAGTATCTTAAAATGATTAAGTATCTCCTAGGACTGAGGAAGTGGCTTATGTTATGTATTTGCTTATTTAAAACATGAGTATACTGCTTCCCATTAGAAATCTCAAGGTAGGTTACAATAAATCTTAGATAATTTCAGGTCTGAATCTGAATCTGATTCTGGATTGGAATAAATAGTTCACTTACTTACCCATCTTAAATGGGAAATAAAAGAAACACAAAGGCCCCTTATTTTCTGTGGGATTAGAGAGAAGGGGTGTAATTTGAATAATGAAAGGTAAAAAACATCCTTCAGGAAGGTGTAGTGAAACAGAGAGGGAGAAACAGAAGAAGAGAGAGCGTAGTATAGTGGTTAAAGTGCTGGACTAAAAGTAGGGACATCCAGGTTCTAGTCCTCTCTTGAGCATGGAAACCAACTGGGTGACCTTGGGCCAGTCACTTCTTCTCAGCCCTAATCCATGTCAGGCTCTGTGACAAGCCAGCTAAAAAACAACCACCCTTATCACATCAATCATTGATAGCTTTGCTTGTGAGAACTCAGCACAATTGAAGGTGAAACAAGGACACCCTACAATTAAGTGAACAAATGCTAAGAAGTATCTCAATCTCTCTCTTTCTCCCCCCACCCCCCGCCCTTGACTGAGAAATTCTAATGAATTATAGAGTGTGTAGCAGTCACTTCTTGAAATTTATATGTGAGTAGTTATCTCTTGGGTTCCATTCTTGTGAACTTAGTGTTGCTCATGGAGTCGTGGAAGCACTTTTTCATGATGAATTTGGTTTGTGTGAATGGATTTCTCTTCTTCTAAAATCACTTCCCAATAAGAAGGTATCAGACAGCTCCACTACATTACTGCAATGAAAACCTCAAGTAAAGATATTTCTAAGAAATGAATAATGGCATTTGAGCTCTTCACTTTTTCTTTTCTGGTAGGATGATGCACGCCTGCTCTTTGTTCTCGCTGGAGCAGCAGAAGAAGGTTTTATGACAGTAGAACTTGCTGGGGTTATCAAAAGGCTGTGGAAAGATACTGGTGTTCAAGCCTGTTTCAACAGATCAAGAGAGTATCAGCTTAATGACTCAGCAGCATAGTAAGTATGAAACCAGAATTATGCCTTCTGCTGCAAATGCTATGGCACAACAGATAAGAGCTTTGATTTTTGCAAAATGAGAACAATCAAAGCCCCTTTAACCAAAATAAATCTGCATAGAAATATACCTCCCTATAGATCTAAAATAAAACCATTTTGAATGTTACAAAAAGTCTGTTCTTACACTAATAAATATCTTACTGATACAGATCCCTGCTGCTCCTGATTCTATGTAAGAATCAGAGACCATTACTATATAACCACTCTGACTGACTGACTGATGATTATTCATTACTTTTTGTTGAAGTACAGTGGTACCTCGGGATATGAACGCCTCTACAAACGAACATTTCGGGTTACGACCAACTCAGGATACGTCCAGAGTCACGGAACGGATTCAGTTCGTATCCCGAGGTACCACTGTATTCTTTCTATTGGTTGTGCAAAAAGTCCCTTTAGGTTAAAATATGTAATTTCACCTCCTTTTGGAAACCATCATGTCGTTCCCTTTTCCACTCTTCGTGAAAATCATGTGATATAATAGTACATTATATGTGTCATAATAATATTAATTATATTTCATTATTAATGATAATGAATTTGAATGGCAAATTGAATTGGGATTAAATAAGCTTTTTCCTTGCTACACCAACTTCGCTCTGGCCCTAACGACTTTGGGAAGTGTGGTCACTAGCATAATCCTCAAGCATCACCTCCCTCTTCCCCCCCCCCGCAAAAGAATACCTCCCAAACATTAAAAATAATTTTTAAAAATGTACACGTCTTCTTTAGTCTTTTGTTTATTTTCTAGTTTTCCAGTAGCAGCCAGTTCCACAGATCTCAGGAGGTGACAAGGTACACTTCTCAGCTAAAAGCCAACTGAGAATAACCTATTTATAAATAAATAAAATAAGCATCTTTAGAAAATATGGTTTTGTCTTCTATTATGACTAAAACAGGTGATGTAATTTCCGTTGAGATTACAACACATAACATTTTTTTCTGTGGCATATTCCTTCCAAGCAGGTGTTTCCTTGGATGGAAAGCTCCAGATGTTCCTAAAATGCCACTTCTCAGATTCGAAAGGGGTCTGTCAATGGCAAACAAGAAACGTTGCAACAGAATCCGCTTACAGTAGACCATTTAATGTATGAACTGTACATTACAATACAACCAAATTTGCATTAACATTAACCAGGTTTTTGTTCATTTAAATTTCAAAACATATCAAAAGCTAAACAAAAGATAAAAACCTCAGACTCATCTCAGGAGGAAAAAAGCAACTTGATTATGAATTAGATACAATAAGCCAGAGAGATCTAAACAAGAGGTCTGATGTTCTACAATTATTCTGGTTAGAATAATGATTTCTAGTGCTATAAACATGGTCGTTTCATATTTATTTAGAAATAAGTTCCATTGAGTTATGATTCTGCTGTAGGGCTGCTATTCTGTTCATAACCATCTAGAAGCAAGTCCCATCAAGTTCACTTGGGTTAGCTTCTGGTAAACACTGAACTAGGAGTAAGTTGTGTTGAATATAGAAATGTGCAGAACTGCATAATTTCAGGCATTCATATGTCACATTACTGTAGACATTCTCTGAACAAATCTTCAATTTTTCCATCTAAGCAATATACCTGTTGATTATTTATGGGTAAGTTTATCACACAACTGCTACTTCCAGGACTTGCCAACCACAGAGATGGTTTTGCTAGTCATAGTTTGGAGAGAAGAATCATCAAGGCCATTTGGCATTTGACATTTTGCTAATAATTTGCTATTGTTTAGCATGATATACGAATTCAATCTTAGTACTTGACGTTCTTCTGAATAGTTTTCTGCAACTTCTAAAAAAATGAACCCATTGGCCGTATAACATGGACCAGAGTTCTTGGAAGCTGTCTGCGACTTTAAAGCAGTTACAATAATACTTTGGTGAAGCTAATCTTTATTATACATACAGTTCATTTTAAAATTAAAAGGTCTTCAATATTTATTCTGTCTTACCAGCTATTTGAATGACTTGGACAGAATAGCCCACACTAGTTATATCCCAACACAGCAAGATGTCCTCAGAACTAGAGTGAAAACTACAGGAATAGTGGAAACTCACTTTACTTTCAAAGATCTCCACTTTAAGTAAGTAATGGCATTAAATATGGGATATTTTATGTTCAAAGTGTTATTAAAATATTTTCTCTGCATTGCATGTGGGAAGAGGATCTGTCTCTGCTCAGAACATAGTTCAGAATATTTTTAAGCTGGCAAGTACTGGAAGAATTCCATGTCTTGTCCACGCTTCTGAGCTCCTGCTAAGTTCCACTTCTGCCATCGCATTATAAAGAAACTCTACAGGCAGCCACAAACCTTGCAGTATAATTGCAGAATTATAATTAACCAAAAGTAAGATCTTCTTAGTGTATGATTTCAGAATTTGGTTCCTGTCTTCTCGTGCAGCTTCTAGAGGTAGTTTTACAAGGACATGGGACTTACAGGAGTGGGTAAGATTAAGTGAGGAAACAACAGTTTTGTTTAGATCTTGTTTTCTTCCACTTCAGATGCTCTCGTGTTTTGGTGGTGACAGGTGAGCTGAAGTGCAAGGAAGTGGCAGTGAGAAAGGCGAAGGGAGTTTAATAGAAATAGAACAGGTGTTTGAGTTATGCTTTGTTGCTGCTGTTATTACTATTAGCAGCAGCAAGTATTTGAAGTGCAAATAAGGAATCAATAGAATGGGGATAAGGCCAGACAATGGGAGAGGAGATTTAGATTTTGTTTATGTATATGTGTGTGTAGTTACAGAATTGCCACCCCATTTTGCCTTGTATGTAGTGTCAATACCAGCATCACCTTTTTATTCAGTTATTTGTTTTGCTATGCCATACCGTGCCGTCTCTATCTCAGAACTGATCTCCACGTTGTTTGCGCTGTCCTGGCTTAGATAGAATTGAAAGTTCTCTACCATTAATGGTCTGCAGAGCACTAAGACCAATTTCTTAGGTTAGGAGTACTGTGGATAAACTTTTGCTACAGCTGTATTCTGTGTAAGCCATGTTCATTAGTAAACCCCTCTTTCCTAATTATTTAATAATTCTAATTAGTTTATTATTCTATTTTCTTAGCAGAAATAACTGAAATTTCACTGAGTCCTGAATGATATAGCAGTTGCTTTGTCCACTGCTACTCGTGGAATGTTGCAAAGCCCTTGTCCATCTAGCTGTGGGGGTGGGTTAAATTTTGTTTGTTAATTTAGTTTTATTCCTATTCGTCAAGTGCTTCTTCTTTTGAGTCACTGCCATTAACTTGAAGTTTCTTTTAAATTGTCTGATTGGGTGGGTTCACTGCCCACTGGCATAAATCATGACTTTCTTAAGGAATCATTTTTAGCTTTCTGATTCAGGAGTTATTTGACCTGGTTGTGGGAGAACCAACAGGCAGTTCTAGTTATGTCCGCATCTGAGGTTTTTCTCTCTTTTAACATCTCATAATTTGACCCTTCTTAACCTTGACTCCACCAGAAACCACCACCCGCCCCCAGTTCATGAACGCAGTAATGTCTTAGATCTTGCCTGGTCTTAAGATATGATCTTGACATTATTTACAGCACTGCCATCTTCCCAATTTATTCTTCAGTTTTCTTTGCAAGGCTTATCAGCACTCCCACAAATGCTTTGTATAGTATTTCCAGGCTAATTAATAAACTTCTCTCAGATCCTTTCCATTGCTTGTGCATCTACTGTTGTCGGATATTAAACTTGGATAGTCCCTAGAATCAGATGGGCCCTAGAATCAGTAGATACTTTCACATTTTGTTTCATTTTAGTCCATGTGCATATCAGTCTACATCAGTGATTCTCAACCTTTTTGAAGCTGCCGCCCCCCTAAGGAGCGGAAAATTTTTCAACACCCCCGGGTCAAATCAAACATTCATATTGAAAGGACGCTCAATGCACGCACTGCGATTAATCGCGCGGGAACACAGCTGGCGCATCCGCTGTGCTGGTTGGGATCGGAGAAGAATCATAGTGTCGAGTTCT